AAAAAAAAAAAAAAAAAAAAAAAATGTAGGTCTGTCCATAGCGTGCTTACTACATAGGGTTGTTGTAGGGATTCTTTGTTAGATATTTTTCTTATAAGAAAATTTTGCCCATCCCGAGTTCAGGAAGATATCTTCCATCTTCTAGAGTGTTTTTGGTTCTGAATTTTATGTTTAGGTTATGATCCATCTTGAATTAACTTTTGTGTGTGTAGTATAGAGGTTGAGGTTCATTTTTTTCCCAATTCAGTTGTTCTAGCACAATCTGCCAACACATTTTATTTTCTCCACTTAATTGGCATTTTGGTCAAAAAGCAGTTGACCATCTACGTGTGAGTTTCTTTCTGGACTTTACTCTGTTCCATTGATCTATTGTCTCTGCTTACCAAGAACCACATTGTTTTGATTACTGTGGCTTTATAGTAAATACCAAAGTCAGGAGGAATAAATTTTCCAACTTGGCTCTTGTTTTCCAAAATTTTCTGGCTATTCTAGATTGTTTGCATTTCCAGATAAATCTTAGAGCCAGTCTGTCAATTTCTTTTATTTATTTATTTTTGAGATGGGAGTCTCAGTCTCACCCAGGCTGGAGTACAATGGCTCAATCTCAGCTCACTGCAACCTCCACTCCCCCACTCCCCTTCAAGTGATTCTCCTGCCTCAGCGTCCCGAGTAGCTGGGATTACGTACCTCGATAATTAATTTTTGTAATTTTAGTAGAGACGGGGTTTCACCATCTTGGCCAGGCTGGTCTTGAACTTCTGACCTAGTGATCGACCCGCCTCGGCCTCTCAAAGTGCTGTGATTACAGGTGTGAGCCACTGGTGCCCAGTCAGGTGCAGTGGCTCACACCTGCAATTCCACCATGTTGGGAGGCCGAGGCGGCTAGATTACTTGGGCTTAGGAGTTAGAGACCAGCCTGGGCAACGTGGTGAAACCCCCTCTGTACAAAAAAAACACAAAAATTAGCTAGGTGCGGTGGCATCCTTGTGGTCCCAGCAACTAGGGAGGTTGAGGTGGGAGGATTGCTTGAGCCCAGGAGGAGACTGCAGTGAGTGGTGACTGTGTCACTGCACTCCAGCTTGGGTGACAGAGCGAGACCCTGTCCAAAAAAACAAAAACAAAAAGCTGGAATTTTGATCAGGATTGTGTTGAATCCATGAACATATGTATCTCTCCATTTACTCTGGTCTTTATTTCGGCGGGGATTTCAACGTCGTTTTCAGCGGGCACAATATAGTTTTCAGTCTTGCACATCTTTTGTTACATTTATTTCTATGTATTTGATGTTACGTTATTTAATATTGCTGCTGTATTTCTGGTTTTATTTTCCGTTTTTTTGTTGCTAGCATGTGGAAATGCAATTAACTTTTGTGTGTGTTTTGTACTCTGCAACCTTGTTCAGTTTATTAGTTCTATATGTGCTTTGTTTTGGTAGATTGCATCCCTAAGGCCCTGCTACTCTGGACTTTCCTGATGGAGATGGTAATAGGACCTGTACTGAGAAGAAGGAATGTGGGGATTTATAGTGATTGTTTAATTTACGGTGTTTGGGCCGCACCCGAAACATATGAAAACAGTCTTCGGAGGAGGGAGGCGGGGTGGGTGAGGCATCCTGTATTTTCAGTTTCTGGGGAGATTCTAAAAGTGCACTTGTGAACTCTTGATTTAGGTGCCACGCGGCACTCAAGCCGAACGGCCACTGACCCTCGCCTGAGGGCATCAGGGCGGGATGACCTGGGCACCACGGTCACGCCCAGGTCGAGGCCCCCACCCTTCCCCTTCTCGGTAAAGGGCAGGCGAGTTCCGGGTTCCCTTCTAGGTCCAGGCGAAGGGGAGGAGAGCGCCCCACAGACGACAGGCGCCTCCCGCCTCTCTCCTTCCATAAACAGGCCGCAGTAACTGCCGTCCCAGCCCGGCCCGCTGCCTCCGCCTCCCACGTGGACACACCTGTTTACCCTTCCCCGCCCGACCGGCGGGAGGCGCCACGGCGACCCCAGCCCCGCCCGGGATTCTCCGGGGTGGCCCGGCCTCCCGGGGCACAGATGAGGACCCCGACCTCCGGGGGGGCGGACGCTGGCGCGAGGCCCCCTGGCCCGACGCTTTCCCCTCGCCCCTTCCAGGTATGCGGAGATTAAAGAGGAGCTGGAGGAGCTGGACCGCATCGCCGAGCAGACGCTCTACGACCTGTACAAGTACAACTCCACCGCCCTCGAGGCCCGCTCCCGCGGCCGTCGCGACCTTCGGGGCACTCTGCCGCACCCCCTGCGGCGCCTGAGGGTCCCGCCCCCGCCCGACGGGGCCCGTCGTGCCCGTGGCGCGGCCTCCGGCGTTCAGGACCACAACCCCCAAGTGGACAGGAAGGACTGGAAGATCGGCTTCCAGCTGGTGAGGCCCGCCGCGCCCCGGCCCCGCCCACCCAGTGGGCTCCGCCCCTTTCCGGACCCGCCCACCCAGTGGGCTCCGCCCCTTTCCGGACCCGCCCCCGCGGCCCAGTGACACCGTGCGGGGCCCAGTGACACCGTGCGGGGCCCAGCGGGCTCGCGAGCAAAAAAATAAGTGAATAGATACAAATAATAACCAGATAATCAAAACACCTCTGGGTGCCCCAGCTTATGGGGCCTCCTTCCCGAGGTGGGAGGGGGTCTATGTAGAAGCGTCTCAGTGATGGGAAGTCAAATCTATTATGGAAAATGTACTTTTATTATTATTATTATTATTGTTTTACTGTTTCTGGTCCTTGATTCAGGAAGGAAGATGCAACTTTCTGAATTCCAGTCCCACTGGTGGGACTCAGTTGGGACCCTCCAGCGTGATGGAGAACTGGACTAACAGCCCAAGATAGAGAATAAGGAGACAGTTTTTTAAAAAAGGAAACAATTTTTTTTTTTTTTTGAGACGGAGTTTCGCTCTTGTTGCCCAAGCTGGAGTGCAATGGCACGATCTTGGCTCAGTACACCCTCTGCCACCCGGGTGCAAGCGATTCTCCTGCTTCAGCCTCCTGAGTAGCTGGGATTACAGGCATGCGCCACCACGCCCAGATACTTTTGTATTTTTAGTAGACACGGGGTTTCTCAATGTTGGTCAGGCTGGTCTCGAGCTCCTGACCTCAGGTGATCCGCCTGCCTTGGCCTCCCAAAGTGCCGGGATTACAGGCGTGAGCTGCCGCACCCACGCCTGTAATCCCGGTACTTGGGAGGCCAAGGAGTGCAGATCGCCTGAGCCCAGGAGTTTTAGACCAGCCTGGGCAACATGGTGAAAACTCGTCTCTACAAAAAAATATAAAAATTAGCTGGCGTCGTGGTGGCACAAGCCTGTAGTTCCAGCTACTCAGGAGGCTGAGATGGGAGGGTCGCTTGAACTCGGGAAGTGGAGGCTGCAGTGAGCCTTGATCACACCACTGCACTCCAGCATGGGTGACAGAGTGAGCCGCTGTCTGAAAAAAAAAGGAAGAAAGAAAGAAAGAAAAGAGCAAGGGAGAATGAGGGAGGAGCCCAGGGAAGGTGATAGGGAAGTTCCCACTAGTAAGAGGGGGCTGGGGACTGGAATTCTAGTCCCAGCTCTTTCGGGGATGAATGTCTTGATCCCTCAGTCTTCCCATCAGTGAAATGGGAGGGAAAGTCTTGCTCCTCTCCGGCCCGGGGGACGCATAAATGAACCCAAGCTGCGTGTGCAGCTACTGGTCTCCCTCCTGGCCCACAGCTCCCTTAATCCCATGCTCTCCTGGTCCACGCTCCTGGGGACTTCTGCTTCTCTTCCGCTTCTGTCTCCCGACTCCTGGCTTCCGACCCCTATCCATCAGTCCTCAGAGCCCCAGACCACTCATTCTTTGCCCTTGGCCCTGCCAAGGGGCCTACCCCTGGCTGCGTTTCCCCTCTGACTCTGGTCTCTGTGTCCAGTGCAACCAGAACAAATCAGACTGCTTCTACCAGACGTACTCATCAGGGGTGGATGCAGTGAGGGAGTGGTACCACTTCCACTACATCAACATCCTGTCAAGGCTGCCAGAGACTCTGCCGTCCCTGGAGGAGGACACGCTGGGCAACTTCATCTTTGCCTGCCGCTTCAATCAGGTCTCCTGCAACCAGGCGTGAGTCAGTCCTGCCTGGCTCCTTGCTTTCCGTGGGGTCCCCTTCCCTGGGTGAGCGTCACGCCCTGCATGGGCAGAGCCCAGGAAATGTTTGTTGACTAAAAAAATGCCAGTACCAGCAGGCCAGGGGGAAGTACTGGCTTCGGGTCCACACCCTGCCCCAGAGAGAGCCCTACGCCCTCCTGCTGCTCCCTGGACTGCAGGACCTGAGGGAAGCGGCTTCACATGGATGCCTTGGGGGCTTGAGGTTGGGCTTTGAGAAGCCAAAGGTTGGAAGCCTGGGTCTTGGTCTTTCTAAGGCCCCTTTCTCCCTAGCATCAAAACTCAAAAGGGCCTGGAAGGTCATCTGTCCCATATACTCTGCTCCCTGAGCTGAGGCTGGCAGTAGGAACGAGATGGAGTGGCATGGGTTGAGGGAATAAGCCTGAGCTTCCGCTCTAGCTCCGTCACTCTTGGCCAGGTGACTGTGGGTGTATCGCATCATTCTTCAGAGACTACTTCTTTGATTGTAAAATGGAAGTAAAACAAAAATGAGATTCATTCCATGTTCGTTCAACAAATAGTTCTGACTGTCTGGGCTATGTACCCGTCACTGTTCTAGGCATTTGGGCTACATCAAAGGAAAAACTATATAATCTGCGCCCCTTTGGCACTTTTACTCAAGTGATGAAGATGATGATGATAACACTTATCTCAAGAGCTGTAGCAAGTGCTTGAGATACAAATGGTGAGGGCACTTTACAGACCGAAGTAAACGATGGGCTCATTACTCTTGTACTGAGACAGGTGAAGTGACTTGCCCTTGGGAATGGGCCGGCCCTGGCTAAGGATTCTTCCCACCCCACTGCCCCTCGGACATTCATTCTGTGAGGACCCCTGTTATAATGTCCTTGCAAAGAGCTCATGGCAGCTGTAGGCTCTCTGAGGGCTGGTGGAGGCTGAGGGTCCCCGTCTGAAGCCTCCGGCCCCCTCCTCCCTGCCTCCTCCTCCTGCATGTTGATTTTCAGGAGGCATCTCCCTGCCTCTGCTCTGGCTCTGCTCTACAGGGGGGCCTTCCCTCCCCTGTCCCTGAAGAACAGCCGGGGGCGAGGTGTCACTTCTCACCCCTCACGCACACTCTGCTCAGTACACGATTTTGTTCGTCTTTAGTCTTTGTGTTTGTTTGAAGACAGAAGCTACCAGCTGGGAAGTAAGATGGTAGCAACACCTAAGCCTGAGTCAGCCCACACCTGCCACCAGGTCCCTCTAACCGTCACCGTGGCACCTGTGCTTTCCCTATGCCCTCATCCAATGCCCTCCCTTTGCTCCATGTGCCTGCCTCCCAGTCAACAGGAAGTCCGTGGTTCATCTTTGTCTTGGCACGTAGCCACTTAGGTCAGCTCAGAGCCTCACTTTCCACCTGGGTTGTTAGACCCACCCCTCCACCCTACTGTGTCCTTCTGCCTCCAGATCCTCCCTTCCTTCTGCAACCACAGGAAGCTTTGTACTTGATCCTTACTTCACTTCACTACACAGACCATTCCAGTTAGTCCTGTGTGTTAGTCCATTTTGTGTTGCCGTAAAGGAATATCTCGCTGGGCCCGGTGGCTCACGCCTGTAACCCCAGCACTTTGGGTGACTGAGATCGGCAGATCACCTGAGGTTGGGAGTTGGTGACCAGCCCAGCCAACATGGCGAAACCCCGTCTCTACTGAAAATATAAAAATTTAACCAGGTGTGGTGGCACGCACCTGTGGTCCCAGCTACTCGGGAGGCTGAGGCAGGAGAATTGCTTGAACCCAAGAGGTAGAGGTTGCAGTGAGCCAAGATTGAACCACTGCACTCCAGCTGGGGCAACAGAGTGAGACTCTGTCTCGAAAAAAAAAAAAAAAAAAAAAAAAAAGGAATATCTGAGGCTGGGTAATTTATAAATCAAAGAGGTTTAATTAGCTCAGGGTTCTGCATATTGTACAAGCATGGCACCAGCATCTGCTTAGCTTCTGGGGAGACCTCAGGAAACATTTACTTGTGGTAGAAGGGGCAGAGGGGGGCAAAAAAGGGACACCAGGCTCTTTTAAACAACCAGCTTTCAGTGGAACTAATTAATAGAGTGAGAATTCACTCATTACTGCGAGGTGGGCACCAAGCCATTCAAGAGGGGCCCGCCCTGTGACCCAAACACCCCCCACTAGACTCACCTCCGACACTGGGGATCACATTTCAACATGAGATTTGGAGGGGACAAACATCCAAACTGAATCTTCCTGTTTAAATTCCTTCAGTGTCTCTCATGGCCTGCAGCGTCAAGTTGGAGCTCCTTAGTATGGCTTTCTCACCCCTCTCCTGCCCCGTAACCCGCACCCTTTCCCCCACCATATGATCTTTTTTAAATAACGCTTTTATTGAGAATAATTCACATACCATAAATGTATCCTTTTAATATGTACAATTTAGTGATTTTTAGTATATTCAGAGTTGTGTAACCATTACTGCTACCTATTTTTAGAACATTTTCCTCCAAAAAGAAACCCTGTACCCATTAGCAGTTCTTCCCCCATTTTCTCCCCTTCTCCAAGCTCTGGGATCCACTCTTCTGCTTTCTTTTTTTGAGACGGAGTCCTGGTCTGTTGCCCAGGCTGGAGTGCAGTGGTGCGAACTCAGCTCACTGCAATCTCTGCCTCCCAGGTTCAAGTGATTCTCCTGCCTCAGCCTCCCGAGTAGCTGGGACTACAGGTGCGTGCCACCACACGCGGCTAATTTTTTTGTATTTTAGTAGAGGCAGGGTTTCACCATGTTGACCAGGATGGTCTTGATCTTCTGACCTCGTGATCCGCTGCCTCGGCCTCCCAAAGTGCTGGGATTACAGGCTAGAGCCACCACGCCCGGCCTCTGCTTTCTGCCATTATGGATTGCCTATGGTGGACATTTCACATGAATGGAATCATACAATATGTGACCTTTTGTGAGTGGCTTCTTTTATTTAGCATAACATTTTCAAAGTTTATCCACGTTGTAGCATGGATCAGAGCTTCATTTTTATGGCTGAATACTATTATATTTTGTAGATATACCACTTTTTTTGTTTGAGACAGGTTCTTACCCAGGCTGGAGTACAGTGGCAGGATCAGACCTCACTGCAGCCTTGACTTCCTGGGCTGAAATGAACCTCCTGATTAAGTCTTCCAAGTAGCTGGGGCTACAGGCTCATGCCACCATGCCTGGCTAATTTTTTTTTTTTTTTTTATTTTAGAGGGGCTGAGTCTCACTATGTTGCCCAGGCTGGTCTCAAACTCCTGAGCTCAAGCCATCCTCCTGCCTCAGCCTCCCAAAGTGCTGGGATTATAGGCATAAGCCACCACGGCCGGCCCACATTTTTGCTTATCCATTCTCATCTGATGGACATTTGGATTGTTTCTACTTTTGGCTACTATGAATAATGCTGCTATGAACGTTCTGTACATGATTTTGTATGGATCTGTGTTTTATTTCTCTTGGGTGTTTACCTACGAGTGGAACTGCTGGGTGCTATGGCAACTCTATATTTAACGTTTTGAGGAACTGCCAGACTTTTCCAAATGGCTGCCCCATTTAACATTCCCAACAGCCATGTATGAAGGGTCTAAATTCTCTACATCCTCCCCATGTAGCTGTCTGTCTTTTCGACTTTAACTGTCTTAATGTATCCCTGTAATCGTAATAGTGAGCTAATACAGCTCTTACTAAGCCTAGTCACCATTCTAAGCATAATTCAATGCTCATAACACCCCTGTGAGGTTGACATGTTTGTTATCCCCATTTTACAGCTGAGGAAACTGAAGTACAGAGAGTTGAAGTAACTTGTTTGGTCTGGCATCTAATGCTTGTTAGAGCCCCAGGATTCAAATACCAGGAATTTAATTCTGGAGTCTGTGCTCTTAACCATCACATTATACTGCTTCTCATAGGCCACTACATTAATGTGCTTAGTGTGTATCTCTGTGAGTTTTTGCAAAATGTGTATTTAATTAACATAAATGGTATTGTGTTATAGATCTCACTTCACCTATTACTTTTTTTTTTGAGTCAGAGTCTCACTGTGGAGTGCAGTGGTGCAATCTCAGCTCACTGCAACCTCCACCTCCCGAGTTTAAGTGATTCTTCTGCCTCAGCCTCCCAAGTAGCTGAGACTACAGGTGCCCGCCATCATGCCTGGCTAATTTTTGTATTTTTGGTAGAGACAGGGTTTCACCATGTTGGCTAGGCTGGTCTCGAACTTCTGACTTCAACTGATCCGCCTGCCTTGGCCTCCCAAAGTGTTGGGGTTATAGGCGTAAGCCACCGGGCCCCACCCCCTGCTTTTTTATTTTTTAACGAAGTTCTATGTTTGAAACCCATCCGTGTTGTTCCACCTTACCTGCTCATCCAACCTGTGCATGCTTTCTCTGGGGGCAGCACCCACCACACTGTGCTTGTCCCCTCTCTGTGTGTGCAGGGCTCACCAGCCTTCAGGACTGGCCACTTCTGTAGCCTCTCCTTCATTCCTTCCCTGCATCTAGCCTGGGCTCTAGAAGTGCTGACTTCCCAGCACATCCTAGAATGTGCAGTGGTATGTCACGCCTCCGTGCCTTTATTCTTCAAGGCCCATGGACTATCCCAGGCCATCTAGTTCCAATCTCCTCATTTCACAGAAGAGGAGAATAAGCTTAGAAACAATGACTTGCTCAAGGCTTTACAACCAGAGCCCCACTCCTTATCTCTGGCCAGCCTCTTCTTCCTCTTCTTTTCATTCCTTCTCTGCCTCTCACCAGCCAAAGTCCCCATTCCCTCTTTGCCCTGCTCCCATCGCTAGCTCCAAGATGGCAGGGTAGCAGAGCACAGATTCTCTCTGTACCGTGTGGCACACGTGCTGTGCTACAATCCACACAGCCTCCCTGTTCTGGAACCTGTGATTTGCTGTGAAATTGCATTCCTACTGCAGCAGTGTTGCCTCTGTGATTGCTTTCTCTCTGTCCCCACACCTGTCACAGATGACTTTTGGATCCCCCATTCTGAGACATGCTGATGCAAAAGTCTCCGGGAAACACTTGGTCTCATTCTTGCCCTGGGAACTTATCTTCCTCCCCCCAACTCCGTGCTCATCACTGGTCACACTCTCTCCTTTAATCCTGCTTGCCTCCACCTCTCCATTTCATTCATTCATTCATTCATTCATTCATTTCTCACTCAACAACTGTCTAGCTTCCCTCCACCTCTCCATTTCATTCATTCATTTATTCATTTCCCACTCAACAACTATCTAGCACCCCTCCACTTCTCCATTTCATTCATTCATTCATTCCTCACTCAACAATTATTAATCATCTCCCCTATCTCCTAGACGACAGGAACTGTGCAACTAATGCAGAGATGACACAGAGATGAATGAGATGTGGCTCCTGTCCTCAAGGAGCTCATGATTCATGGGAAACTAACATTTAGACACATGAACAGTTAGGGACACTGCAAGAATCTTTATAGTGCAACAAGAGATAAGTCACAGGGCAGCAGGGAAGTCAAGGCCAGTGAGCTCAGATGGCCTGGTGAGAGGAGCCTGGGCTAGAAGGTAGATGACCTGGGTGTGAACCCCAGGCTCGTCATCACTGTGTGACCTTGGGCCAGCTGTTTGAGTTCTCTGAGCCTTAGCTTCCTCCTGTGTGATGTGAGGATGAGGCTCTCACAGGCTGTTGGTTGGAGTGACTGAGGGAGTGTGAGTAAACCTCTCAGTATTGTGCCAGCACATAGTAGGTGATCAGGAAACAAATGGCTCTGAAAGGCACAAGTCCGGTAGGAGTTTAAGGAAGTGGCGATTTCTCTCCGCCTCATCTTCCTGCTCCATGGACCACGTACACTTTCCTCTCTGACTGTACTCTCTCTCCTGATAAGGAATTACTCTCACTTCCACCACCCGATGTATGGAAACTGCTATACTTTCAATGGCAAGAACAACTCCAACCTCTGGATGTCTTCCATGCCTGGAATCAACAATGGTGAGTGACTCCCCGCTTGCTCCGTGGCCGCCCTCTGCTTCAGCCACTCACGTGTACTCACCTTGAGCTCACCTCCTAGAGCTGCGGGGAGGAGTCCTCTCTGCTCTCTCTCCCCAATAGGCGCCACATAGTCCATTCCAGGCATGAGAGGAATCCTGTCCCAGGCCTTCCTCCTGCCTCCAGAATCCAGCTCAGGGGTTGCCAGGTCCCATTGCAGGTCTTCCTGAGCTTGCTCTTCTTGCAGCGTTAAGAGATTGGGCCAAGGCGAATTTCCATCTTCTACCTCTTCTCCAGGATTCCCGCCCCTACCAACTCTGCCCTCTCTGCACCCCTAGGTCTGTCCCTGATGCTGCGCACGGAGCAGAACGACTTCATTCCCCTGCTGTCCACAGTGACTGGGGCCCGGGTAATGGTGCACGGGCAGGATGAACCTGCCTTTATGGACGATGGTGGCTTTAACTTGCGGCCTGGCGTGGAGACCTCCATCAGCATGAGGAAGGCAAGGATGCTGACGGGGAGGCCTAGAAGGAAAGCCCAGACTGCAGAGGGGCGGGGGGAAGGCATGGGGGGTGGGTTTACCAGCTAGAAGGCTGGGGAGGGAGAGCGTGTGGGGTGGACCTTGAGCATGTGGAAGTCTTCAGGAGCAGGAATGAGGGGCAGAGGGGCTGGCACTGGGAAGTGGGCCCTGCAGGGTGGACCCTGGGAGACAAGGGCTGAGAAGGTGTTCAGGGCATGCTTAGGATTTCTGGGAATGCTCTGGGCCCAGTGGCCTTGAAATGGGCACTGGGTGGGCATGGGGGTGGCTAGAGGCATGTATTGAGAGGGTGAGGCAGGTAGGAGGGGTTGGCAGGTGTGAGGCACAACCTGGGACTGAGGGAAGGCAGGGAACTGAGAGACACTTGCTCTGTCCTCTGATCTCTTGGTGTATGTGGGTTCATAGGAAACCCTGGACAGACTTGGGGGGGATTATGGCGACTGCACCAAGAATGGCAGTGATGTCCCTGTCAAGAACCTTTTCCCTTCGAAGTACACGCAGCAGGTGAGGCCCAACCTCTGTGGCAGCCACCCCAGGCCTGCCCCGGTCAGTCCTGCAAAGCTGGAGGGGAGTGTGTGTGAGAGAGAGAGGGAAATGGGGGTGGGGGGGAGTGGGGGGTGGGGGGGAGGTGGGGAGATTGGGGGGTGGGGTGGGGGTGGAAAGAAGATGAAGGCTCTGTGCAGAGAACTGCTGAGATCAGGCCTGAACCCCTCTCCTCTCCCCCTCATCTCTTCCAGGTGTGTATTCACTCCTGCTTCCAGGAGAGCATGATCAAAGTGTGTGGCTGTGCCTACATCTTCTATCCGCGGCCCCAGAACGTGGAGTACTGTGACTACAAGAAGCACAGTTCCTGGGGTGAGAAAGCGAGCCCCTGCCCTGCCCCGCTGAGCGCAGCACTCACCGAGCCCAGGCGCTCCTTCCTGTCAGAGTAGTTTGTTTGTGGAATGACTCCCACCTGCCGGGAGGAATCCTCCCTCGCTCTGGTTTTTCAGCCTTTGCTCTCTGCCTCTGTCAGTTTCCCTCTCCCTCCGTCTCCCTCTTCTATCTCTGTTCCTACCCTCTCAGTGTTGCAGTCTCTCTGTTTTGGCCTTTGTGCATTTGTCAAGGAATTGCCCCATTTAAAAATAACCTGCAGCAGAAGGAAGGAAGAGCAGGTGAGAAAATCTCCAATGCTTCCTCACTGACTGCTAAGGTTTCAGTGCACACTCTGCCAACAGCTTCCCTGCTCCGTGCCCAGGGCGCTTAACTGGGCAGGCTCTGGAGGCACTGGTGGGGTACACAACACTTGCTTGGGGCACAGGAAGAAAATATTAGAAGTTACATGGGTCTGTCTCATTCCTTCACATTTTCCATCTTACGTGCTTTAGAATGGACATACTGTATCCATTCAATAGTAGAGGTATGCAATTTATAAATCAAATCCATGAGGGCCTGGCATGGTGACTCACGCTTGTAGTCCCAGCACTTTGGGAGGCCGAAGCGGTGGATCACAAAGCAGGAGTTCAAGATCAGCCTTGCCAAGATGGTGAAACCCCATCTCTACTAAAAATACAAAAAATTAGCCAGACGTGGTGGCACATGCCTGTAATCCCAGCTAGTCGGGAGGCTGAGATAGAAAATTGCTTAAACTTAGGAGGCAGAGGTTGCAGTGAGCTGAGATTGAGCCACTGCACTCCAGCCTGGGCGACAGAGTGAGACTCCGTCTCAAAAACAAAAACAAACAAACAAGCAAAAAAAACGAAAATAATCACAGATGCTGATGGTGGAGTCCCAACCCCATCATCAGTTTACAGGCACATCCATGCAGACTCCTGAGAGCTGCTAGCGCTTCACTAAGAGAACAACGGGCCACAAAGATTCACAAAGAACGTGAACCAAGTTTCTAACACAGACCAAAAAAAAAAAAAAAAAAA